CCCACTGTGGTGGTCCTGGCCTGCAGCTCTGTACTGGGGCTGGGCAGGAGCCGCGGTTCTGCCAGCATGTGGGGCGGGCTCCCCTCCTCTCTGCATCCAGCGGCCTCGCTGTCCTTGGGCACCTGCAGTGATCAGAGCCCTAGGGGTACAGCAACCCTAGCACCCTCTGACCTAGAGTTCCCAGGGCACTTGGCACTAAGGAGGCCTCTGGCAAGGGCAGCAGGAGCGTCCTTAAGAGGGAGCCAGGTCCCCTCCTGCCATCCAGTTGGTGGGCTCCCGCCTGGTGCTGAGACCAGGTTCTGCTTCTGAGGGGTGGGGTGGCCTTGGCCAGTTCTGGTGCCCTTTACAGTGCAGGCTCCTCGGAGGGGGGAGAAGCCATCCTGGCCATGTGGGTGGTTTCGTGGGGGCAAGCAGAAGTGGAACGCAATGCATTGTGTCCTGCTCGTCAGATACTGAGCCAAAGCGATTGATCGACATCTGCAGTCTGGGCTGCTGAAGTAGCCTGCTAGCGCTCTCTCGTCACGTGCTGCTGCAGGGCCCCTCCTACCTCCATTTGTCTGCACGGGGGATGGTGTCTGACTGGTTTACCCAGAGGAAGCCTCTACTAGCCAGGAGATTCTGACCGGTGCCACCTCTGTCATGCTGTGGCTGAAACTTGGCTGGAAGTGGGAGGGTGGGGGGCCAGGTATTTGAAGCCAAGTCAGATCGATGTGGGTGAGTTGCTTCCCTCACCTTGCTGTGTGATCTTGAACAAGTCACTTCACCTCTCTGAGCCTCCATTGCTCATCTATGGGGTGGGGCTGAGCAGGGCCACTCCGAGGGTTTCAGGGTCTCCCAGGCCAACACGAGGCCAGCCAGCTATCTCTCCGTCTCTCGGGAGGCATAATTAGAGCAAGTTTGGGCCCGGGAACCAGCCCCGTGTTTGACAGTCCCTGGCTCACCAGCTGGGATCACATGCCCAGCTGCCCCCTGCCCTCTGGCCTCCTTCATTACTCCTCCAGGAGAATGGGCTGGAGGTGGGGGGTCTGGACCCAGGTACCAGATAGGGCTAGAAGGGTCTCTGAGGATGGTGGTAAGAGGGTGTGGGCCAGGCCCTGGGGGTGTCTAGTCTAGGGTCTGGAAAAGACCAATTAGTCAAATGGCTGCAGTTGACCATTTGGAAGCAATTTAAGGGTCTCTATTACCACATTGTGCACCCCCCACCTGGTTCCGTGTGGGAGGGTCGGGGTGGGTGTGAGGGTGGCTGTGGTGTGGGTGCCTCAGCCCAGCCTGGGCCAGCCCGACTTTGTGGCCAAGATGCCCGCTGCTGCTGGGAAAATGTGGAGGGATCCGGCACCCCTCCCTCAGTCAGGCTGGAGTATCTGAGGGTCCTAGAGCCGGGTGACAGCCATGGCCCAGCCCAGGCCCCAGGGGAGAAAGATGGGTGGATTTAGATGAGGAGGAAGACTTCGCTGGGTGGGTGAGCAAAGGCCTGGGCCCTGGTGGGAAGTTGTGGGAAGCAGACAGAGGCACAGGGAGGTGAGCAAGTGTCATGCTGATGCCAAGGCAGGGGGTATGGCTGCAGTGGCCCTGGCAGCTTTGGGTTCCAGACAGTTTCCTCTGACTTTAGGGTGGAGGGCCCATGGAAGGCCAGATAGAAGGCTATTGCCAGGGCACAAAGAGGAGAAAACCTAGTCTGGGGAGAAGTCATGGTAAGGAGGGTACCGTGTGGTAAGCCAAGGCCTCTGGAACAACAGGCAGCTGGGGTGGCAGGCAGGTGCCTGTTGTCCCAGCACAACTGAATAGTGAGCCCTTTCATTCACAAGGACCTGTTGGTTTGCATAGTAAACTAATCTCCTATTGATGGAGCATTCCTTTCAATGATACTGTGGCAGTGACCTTCTCAGGGTAATTCCACTGATATTCGGGTTTGAGTGGATCGAATCCTGGATCTGGTGACTTCAGAAACAGATCAGGCATCTGTGCATGCATGCCTGAAGTCCCAAGAGGAGAATGGAGAAGGGATTGTGGTGTGGCCATGCCCCCTGGGGGGAGGTGATTTCTCACTTCCTCCCTCTCTCTCTGATAAGCACACACACCCTATAGCAAAATAAATAGATAAATAATGGGGGACATCAAATACATGAGAAACCAGATGCTACGGGGCAAGGAAGTGGCTCAGTCATTCATTCGTTCTCTCGAGGAGTTTGCCCCAAGTAGCTCAGATCAGGCATCTGTGCATGCATGCCTGAAGTCCCAAGAGGAGAATGGAGAAGGGATTGTGGTGTGGCCATGCCCCCTGGGGGGGAGGTGATTTCTCACTTCCTCCCTCTCTCTCTGATAAGCACACACACCCTATAGCAAAATAAATAGATAAATAATGGGGGACATCAAATACATGAGAAACCAGATGCTACGGGGCAAGGAAGTGGCTCAGTCATTCATTCGTTCTCTCGAGGAGTTTGCCCCAAGTAGCTCCTGTGTGTCAGGTGCTGTCTAGGAGCCGCGGGTACAACTGAACACAATCATGACACCTCTTGTTCCTCGGAGTTTCCCTCCGGCAGAGGAGGCCCACCCTCAGATCCCTGGTCTGGGGCAGTACCGCTGCCCCCACTCTGGGTTCTAGAGTACAGGCAGACCTGGTGGTGGGCAGAGGCTGACTCACAGTGGGTGGGGTTGGAGACCAGTGCCAGGGAGTCTCCCTGGGAACTGTTGGGGGCCCCAGGCATGGAGCAGCAGGGAGGCTATAAACCCAGATTGCCTCACCAGGTTTTCTGGCCCCTCCCAGTCTTCCAGAGGCACGAGCTGCAGAGAAGCAGGCTCTGGCCTTCATAGGAAAGGAGTGTCTGAAGTCCTTCCTCCAACCCCAGCTAACTGCTCCTGCTCTTGTGCTCTTGGGATTTTTATTCTCTCTGCTTCTTCGCATCGCTCTGTCTATTCTGAGTGTTGCTCCCCTCTTGCCATGGCAGTTGGGATGTAGCTGTTCCCAGAAGCAAAGCTAAGGTGTTTAGGGCATGGGCAGCTCTCATGGTGTCTCTCTGCTCTCTTGAGAAGTCCAAGTGATTAGTAAGTCCCAGCTCAGGTCTGTGTGTAGAGCCTGTGGTCATGTTCCCCTCTGGCTTCTGTCTTTGGGGCTCCCCTGGGGCTGTCCTTTGTCCCCCATAAAGCGGGCTCCATCATGACATCTGAGCTGTAGCCATCTGGTGGCCTAGTCTTTGGGCTCTTCAAGGATTCTCACAGGCCTAGGCAGTGCCTAGACAGATCCTGGCCAAGACTGAGGGACTCGGTGACATCCTGGAGGTGTCAGCCCCTAGGACACACTCAGGCGCTGAGCATGCTGGAGTGGTCTCCTGGAGGACCTGCTGCCCCATGTGTCTCAGGCCACAGCAGTGAGAAATGCCCCAGTGGTGTATGCTAGCTCCTGTAGCTCACAGGCATTCCCAGGCACCCTGCTCCCTGGCCAGGACCCCAGATCTTGATGCAGATAGGAGAGACGGGGGAGTGCCAACCCCGTGGCTCATCCCAGAGTCCTTGTCAACTTGGAGCCAGGCCATGGTTTAGACCACTGGACCCCACTCAATGAGTGCCCCAACTCAGATGCCAACGCTCCCCTTGCTTGAGTCTGCTTGCCCTTATCATCAGCTCCTGGCCAGAGAGCTCTGGGCTTAGAAGGCCAGAGGTCAGGGGTGAAGAGAAGGGAGTGGGCGTGTGGCTTTTCCCAAGGCTATCGGTAGCCTTTCTCCCCCGAGTCAGTCCCTTGCTGATGGATATCCTGAGATGCACCCCACCCCATGCCGTCCAGATCCGTCTACAGCCACTCCCACACAGGGCTGGATACACCCCGCCGCCAGCCTCCCCGGCTTCCCTCTCCTCTCCTTTCCCTTCGCAGCCCACGCCCATGCTCCTCTGTTATCTTCTGCTCCCTGGGTCTCCATCGCTTTGTCTTTGTGTCTGTCCCGTTCTTCCTCCCTGTGTCTCTCTATGTCCATCTCTATTTGCATCTCTTCCTATCTAGGGCTGTCTCTGAGCCTTCTTCTCCGGGCCTCCTCTCACCTCCCAGCCCCCTGCCTGGGACAGGGCCTTCCGAGGCCGCCCGACGTGCACAAACCTAGATTTTCCGGGTCTGCCCGGTTGGGATGCGACAGGATAAAGCACTTCCGCGCTGCTCTCGCCACACGCCTTGGGCTGCAGAGGACAGCGCCGTGGCTCCCGCAGGAAGCGTCCGGCGCAGACACAAACCAGGGGTCCCCCACGCGCGCCGGCGCTCCAGACCCTCCCCTCCGCCGCCCTCCGCAGCCCCCTTCATTATGCGCAGCCTTTAATGGGCGTTTGTCAGCGCGATTTCCCCGCAAGTTGTTTTCGCGGACATCAGTCATCGGTGGCGGTCCCATTGTGCCAGGGGATTGATGGGGGGCGGGAGGGGGTGACAGGGCCTGGGGCGGCCGCCTCAAGGCCTCGGTCTATAATTTTCGGAGG